AACTGCTAACTGCTCCTCTGCCAGCTGCGGGCGGCGGGCGGGCTGCCGCCGGCGGCACTGCTCCTCTTCCAGCTGCGGGGTGCGCCTGCTGCCTCCTGGGCACCTGCTGGTGCAAGAGCTGCCTCAGCGTGTGCGTCCTGGCGGCCCTCTGCTTTGCCTCGCTGGCCCTGGTGCGCCAGTACCTGCGGGACCTGCTGCTCTGGGCTGAGAGCCTGGACAGCCTGGCCGGTGTGCTGCTCTTCACCGTGGGCTTCATCGTCGTGTCCTTTCCCTGCGGCTGGGGCTACATCCTGCTCAACGTGGCCGCCGGCTACCTCTATGGCTTCGTGCTGGGCATGGGGCTGATGGTGCTCGGCGTCCTTGTTGGCACCTTCGTCGCCCACGTGGCCTGCAAGAGGCTGTTGGCCCACTGGGCACGGGCCAGGATCCAGGGCAGTGAGACTCTCAGCGCCGTTGTCCGCGTCGTGGAGGGTGGCAGCGGCCTCAAGGTGGTGGCTCTGGCACGGCTGACGCCGATCCCTTTCGGGCTGCAGAATGCCATCTTTGCGGTGAGTCCTGGCCCGGGCCATGCCCTGCAGCCCAGCGGCTGCAGCCAAGGAAGAAGCTCTGGCTGGAAGGATGGCTTGCAGCACGGCGGCCGGTGTCACTGGTGGAGGTTGCCTCCTTTCCTGGGAAGAAACCTTGGTTTCTTTCTCTTTTAACAACAGTAAAAAGCCACCCCCGTGCCTGCTCTTGCTAGTGGCTCTTCGTGCTTGCGGAGGGACGGCAGGCAGGTTCTCAAGGTGCCTTGTTCAGTGGCATTGCATTAGAGTTGCTCTCTGGCTTTTGAGACTATGTTCTGCTGTTAGAAAGAAGCACCAAGGAGCTGTTTAGCAAAATCTGCAGAGAACTCAACAGTTTTAAAGTGCTTGTGTTTTTAAAGTGATCTGAGTGGGAAGAAAAGTTGTATTTTTAAGCAGTCTTGCCAGATCTCCCTCAACTACTTAATATAAATGACCATATTGGAAAGAAGGAAGTGGACAGATTAAAATTCTTGCTCAGTTTGATTGATGTTTGTAGCATGCATCTAGCAAATCCATAAAGAGTGTTAAATCCATGCACACAAGAGAGGTTGTGCATTTTGGTCAGAGCATTAAGATGTAGGCTCAGAGCTAAAAAGGGACTTAGTACACCGGAGGGGTACTGAAAGTTAATTTAAACTTGAGTTGGAAAAGGGTTGGACTTGCTTTTCTTTCTACTTTTAGATGAAGATTGGTACATTCTTTAAGAACAGTTATTTAAAACTTATGATCTTACTGTTCTCTTTGATCATCTTAAAGGAGGAAGTAAAGAAGAACATAGAGGGTACCGCTTTTGAGTACCATCATGCTGATGATGACAATTTCAGACCCTCAGCTCTTCCTGAGTGCTTTGTCTGAAGGATCTGGTTTTGGCTGCGTGTTATGCCTCAGTTGTGTCTGCTAACTCGGTGAAATCAAAACAAAGCAAACCACACTGTGAAATATTTTAAACGTTTAACAGTAACTCCTATGTTCATTAACGTAAGAGACCCCGTAAACAAGTGTTTTGGTCTGTCGCTTTCTTGTAGCATGCTTTCTGTCCCCCATCAGCAGTCCTGATCCTGTACCCTTCTGAAGCGCTTGCTTAATTTTGACAGCGTCATCTGGTTGAAATGAGTAGGTCACTGAATACCAAATTTGTTATTTAAGAAAAAAATAATCCACACAATTTTTAGGGGTTAACACCCACATCAAATATTTAAAATTGCTGTGTATAAAACTGTGTGTGCTGGGGCATTTGTCTCCAGAGCTGCAATCTCTGCCCATAAAAGCTGTAGCAACTTCTAACTTCTTTTTAAGCAGATCTTTAACCATTTCTTGTTATGAATGAGAAGAACCTCAGCTGTTTTATTTATTTACCTGTATTACTGCAGGACTAAGGAAGCTTAGACCCGTGCCGCCGGGAGCAGAGTCCCCCCGGAGCCCAAGGTCCCGGTGTAGCAGATGAAGCTTCTGCTGTAGTGTGACCCTCCTAAAGTGGGGAGAGCTGTTGTGCTTCGGTTGTTCACAGCTTCTGGGTGTCACCTGAAGTAGTCAGCAGATGTTGTAGAGCAGTATTGGATCTGAAGAACTGACCAGAGAATTACCAAGTTAAAATTATTTCCTTCCTGGCATAACTGTTCCGTTGGAAACACGATTCAGCAGAGTATTCAGGCCAGTGCAATATTAAAATGATGCTGTAAATCAGTGTTTTGTATTCTCGAAGTACTGCAAGCTAAATAATTTTCTTTCCAAGTGGAAGGTTTCAGTGTCAAAATAACAGATAGGAAATGAGATGAAACCTGATTCTTGAGTATGCCAAATAACTTGGATGTTGCCTGCTAAAATTAGTTTGGGTTGCATTTATTACTCTGGATTTATTACTTTGCAGCATAGTCAAATAAAGCACGGTGTGTTCCATTTTCAACTGAGAACGTTTAATATGAACTACTAGATTAGTGAAAAATAAACGTTGCATGCAAATCTGGGAATTCAAGGCAGTTTCTCACTGTGAGTCAAGTTTAAGCTATGTATAGAATACAAAATTCTACCTACGCAGACTGAACTGTCATTTCTTTGAAATCTGACTTATTTGGAAACTTAATGCTCTACTTAGGTTTAAAATGCAAGGGGATTTGGGGTGCCCTAACCATCTATCCATTCCCTGTGCTAGCAACTTCAGCAATGAATTTGAAAAAGATTGTTCTTAATAGTAGAGGAAAGAACAGTTAACTGAAGAAAACATATACATCTTTAATTTTCCAGCAGTCTGGTCTATGTGTGTTTTCTACGTGCATATTCATAAGTAAACTGGAGGTAGTACTTAAATGAGAGGGAAGCGAGGAAGTGACGCGAGGTCCAGGACAAGGCATAACCTTCATGTGAGAGGGGTCATCTGCAGGGCTGGGATTAATGGGTTTCTACAAGTTCAGTGGCGTGTACCATCTGCTGAGGGTTTTGGGGAGGCTGAATTGCAGGGGAACATGCAGAAGGAAGAGCTTCCTCGCATTTGATTAGGGATGGGATCGCATTACCTGAAACAGCACAAGAAGAAGATTAACACGAATTTCTTAGTTTCTCACCAGCCAGACATGAGCGTCTTGCTTCTTAAGGTCATTCCGCTGCTCTTTGGGAAAGCAGTGATAGTAGGAGCACTGGGGTAATGCATTTACTTGCCTTTCTGGAAGACCTAAAAACTTCTTAACTGAAAGCATGTTTGTATTTCTCTTTGAGTGGGTTTTGCTTAATTGTCGCTCCTGTGATGCCAGGGTGGCCTGGGCCGCTGGGGTGGCCTGATAGCTCTTACTGAAGTGTTTGCCCATGCACAGCCCCCTCGCCGTGGCAACTGTTGAGTGTTTTGGAGGCAGGTCTGTAAGGAGGCCTGGTATGCAGGTTATCGCCTCCTTCCCCCTACTGGGTCCCTGGAGCTAGATTTGTGCAAACTGATTATTTGTAGTGCCAGGTGTAGCTTAGATCAGAATTCATATTTCTTCTTTCTCCTCTGAGAGGAGTATTGTATGGAAGAAATAACATGTCCAAGTGTGCTTCTGGTTCGAGAAATGCACACAGTGAAATCAGAGTTCAAGAAATGGTACCTGCTTTGCAGGAACATGCAGGCTACTTACTCTGCTTGTTGGAAAGTTGCTAGCTATTTTTTTTTTTTTTAATTCTCTACCTGTTGTGTGGTTTGTTGGGGTTTTTTTTGAGAAAGTAAAGAGCATCAGAATTGTCCTTTGCTCTCAGTTGCTAAACCTACCTGATCTGAAACACGGGATTTTGTAAGTTGAGGGGAGAGAAATCTGCTGCAATCCCCAAAGGCATGTGAGCCCCCAACAAAGTCCTGACACAAGCATTTATTCTGTGACAGGACTGAACCAAATGTGTCAGCTCCAAAGAATACACAAAAGTTTTACTGGACAAAGCCTGTCCAAGGCTTACTGGGAGAATTTCTGGCTAACGCTTTTGTTACCAGAACGGTTAGGTAGTTCTTAATTTTATTTTAATACATCAGTATGGCCTATAACAATTGCATCCATGCTTGCCTTGGGATTTCACTGTTAATTTTTGCTGGCTTGAGCTTTCCTTAGAAACAGAGTCCTGGTAGCCTCTGTTTGGCAGCTTGGCCATGCAGACCCCAGTCTGGCAGGTTTCTAGAACAGGTAAAGCTTCATAGAAGGAAAGATATGGAAAGCTGTAAGTTTTATTGAAAATTTCTCAGGTTTCTTAAGTAGGGATGCCATCCACTTCCTTTGCCTTCTGGGGGAGGGGATACCACTGTAGGTCTAAACCCTACAAACCAGGACTTAAAAGGGCACCTGCCAATCTTTTTTCCCCCTCTCCTTGACTTTCATTTTAGTGGGAACCACAAGTCCATCCAGCGTGTCTGTTGGCAGCCTCTCCTGCGTTTGGAAACAGTCTCTCTCATGGCCCAGGAGGTCCAGTTGCTTCAGGACAGATCCAGACGTGCAGACGTGTTGCTCTGCAACTGAGGTGTCCTTAATACATATGCAGAAATGAAAGAGGTGCCCGGGAGTGTTAAAACAATCTTTGGGAAGTTTCCCAGCTCCATTAGATTTAATGACAGTGTCCTACTTAGCAAATCTTGCCTCAGCATTAGTATTTCAGAGACTTTTAATAGCAGTTCCTTCATTCCCTTGGCAATATGGGAAGTTTTGGTTGTGCATTCTTATTACATGGCCCAGATTACTATAATGTTTAAAAAAAAGTCTTTTTCAAAGCATCGGTCAAATACAAAGTTCTGACATAATTGCTTAGTGCTTTTGCATTACAAATCTAAATTAATCTTGTGTAGAGAGGGAAATGTATTATTTGTGTTGCTCGTACATATTTCAGTCTGTGGGAAGTGTAATTTGCAGTGTGAAGTTTGGAATTGGCTTATTGGATCTTGTTCCAGTGGATTATTCTCAATCTTTATGCTTCATTGCATTCTCCTCCTCCATTGCCCTTCCTTCCTCCCAAAAACTTTCCACTGATGGTGCTAGGAGCTCTGAGAATTCAGCACTGTGACTTTCATAGTAACCAAAGTTTATTTTAAGAATAGCATGATGAAATGAGTAACTTTGCTGCTATTCTCTTGTCTTCGACATTGTACAAAACTGTCAAGGTCAATAATTTCCATGTAGGCTCCCAGTGTTAGGGGCTGTTCTTAATTAGAACTCATTTTATTACTATGTGATCAACTGAATTGTCTGGAAAATTCCTTAGACTGCTTGTTTCAAAATCGCCCTTTTCATACTAATTTTTAACCCATAGTTTCCTCCTGTTTTCATTTTTTCTTGCGTAAATATCTTTTGGCCTCTTGGCTCTTGCATTTAATATTTCCCCATGGCTGCTGATACTAATTTAGCTGGTACTGTGTACTTTGTTCCCATGTAAACTGTCTAAATATTGACTCAGAACAGAAATTTCACAGCAAGGAGAGGAAAATAGCTTGAAGTATTATTAGTGTGTTTTCCAGAGAAACTAACGAAAACTATAGCCGTGTGTACTGTTTTGTTCACTAATTAAAGTGTGATATAAAATATCTTTGGTAGAGAATCTTAATGATACCCATGTATGTCACTGATAGATACAGATAGATACTGCTGCTAGAGATCACCGATAGATATATATCTTAATGAGTATATAACTTCCCTTGCAGAGGCAAATTGTATCTGCCATTCTGTTTACCTAGATCATATTTAATATGGTGACATTTTGAACAATTACCTCTTTTATTAGTTGCCATACATGTAAAAGGCAAAGCAAAGAGATTTTTGCTTTAGCCCTTCACGTTTGATAAAGTAATTTCTTCCCGCAAGCAAATTCTCATAAATTGTAGGGCTCTGTTCACCATGAAGAAAGAAACATCTTCAATGAACAGTGTAATTGCATCCTTAGTTAATGGCTTTTGCACAGAGGTGTTGCGTAATGTAAGATGAAATAAAACCTAGTAACTTTAAAAGGCCAGATGAAAACTAGCCACATGCTGTTTTATTGTATTATCTTAGATTCATGCACAGTGGAAAGTTTCAGTGAAGGCATGTAAGAAATTCTTCCATTGTTTTGCAGGGATGGTTGTGGGAGCGGCAGTCTGGTTGTTTGTGCACGTAGATTGTGTTGGAGCTGTGCTCGATTTCTTACGCCGTCTTTTACTCAGATTACAGATTTGTCACTACCCAACTACCTGATGGCTTCTTCAGTTGGGCTGCTTCCTACTCAGCTCCTGAACTCATACTTGGGCACTACCTTGCGCACCATGGAGGATGTGATTGCAGAACAAAGTGTTAGTGGCTATTTTATATTCAGTTTACAGGTAAGTTAAAATGATTGCTTTCATAGACCTTGGTAACAGTAATGTCAGTCTCTTTATGACTGCTTGGGTAAGCAATTACTCTTGGAAACAGTCATCATCTTCTGTTTGAGTTTATATCCCCCTAATTTCTTGCTCATCTAATGTACCAGTGGGATTCAAGATAGAATTTTTCTTCTGAAGACAGTAGACAAGTTTCCTTCCTGTAGCTTCCTGTAGCTTTGGATTGACTGATTCAAAGCCGTTGAATCTTTGCTCTGGAAACTGCATGCCCATAGGGATGCGTGTGACACACAGAGAGATTCAGTATTGCTGATTTGTCTTTCAGGTTGTACAGCCTCGAGTGTAAAAGGGGTGGGCTGCAGGAGGTTCGGGGTGTCTCAGGGGTTAAGAGCTGTTCTCCATTGGCATAACAGCTCCCTAGTCTGAGGCAGCCGACCTCTTACAAACTGAAAGCCAAGCAAGTATGGCATGTGGTATTGAAAAGTAGCAGGTTTTAAAAAGTGTTTAGTTTAGAACTGGTATTTTCAGTAGATTGTGTAAAACTGAGCTGACGTTTCTTTTTCACAGGCTTACTGACTGCTAGATACCCAGAGAAATGGATTTTCAGTGTACTGTTTTCTTTTGATTTTGTTTTCTTCTGTTAGAAAAGTTTAATTCTCACATGACACAAAGCAGAAGTTACTCAGTGTTCTCTTTTTCTGTTTCTGCCACGGTTTTGCCAAGTTCTCTTGCCCTGTGTGGTAATCTGCTGAATTTTAGACTTGTCAAACCACGCCTATACAAAAGCCCATGTGCCACCAGCTGTGAGGTAGTGTGCTCAGGGTGTGTAGACCCGGCACCTGTGCAGTGTTCACTGTTAGCACTGAACACTCCCGATTTTGCATAGGTTTTAAGGATGAAAAGTGCTGTAGAAATACCATTTTGCTAATGCTAAATCAGAATATCCTAACTTTGCAATTGAGTAAATTCATGAGAAGTATTCAGTACCTTTACATAAGCTTAGCCGATGAAATAATTTGTCAATAAATCTTGGGGGTAAGCCTTAAGTCTGAGACCATTACGAGCATAGAGGTCATAAGTATTTCGGAACCAGATTATATATTAAAACCTCCTCTGATAGCATCGGTACTTCAGGCTGTGTTTGAACAGCAGTTACCATGGTTTGCAGTCTTTCAGTTGGTACTGCAGTCATTTATCTTCCTCAGTTTTTACAAGCATAAAGCTGATGTTTAACAATGCTAAGATAGAAAACTAAGTCTAGGACCATTTTAAACCCCCCCCCCCA